CTACTTTGAATTGTAAATAAAATAAATATCTACATTTGATTAAATTTATATAATATTCTTTTGCATTAAGGTAATTTTAATGGGTCATTCTACTTAATTTACACTTTTTATTAAAAAATGTAAGATAAACACCATTTATTTCTTCTTCCTTTTGAATTTGTGCAGATATGGCCGTGCAAATGTTCTTGACTGTTGATTCTCAAAGTGAAAATGAGAGGCTACATTTCTAATTGTGATTAGAAGTTATTATGATGATCTGCTTGAGCATCATCACAGCTTCTTGGCAACAGCGTGGAGAAATCTATCCGCCCCCATCCTCTGATTTGTAACGCACAGCTTTGACTTGTTCCCATTCAATTCCTAATCCAGACATTAAACTCCCTGCTGTCAGCATGTAAAGACTAATACATCCATTTTCAGCAGCAGCAAAGTAGCCATAACTTTAAAAAGATCATATCAGGAGCTTATAATAAAGACACAACGTGCGCACTCCCATGGCACAATAAAGCAGTGGGGTTCCTGGAGATGTATGAGACGGTAAACAAACAAGCCAAAGCAACCCCCATCTGGTAAGCATTTCGAGACACCTCGAGGTGATTAATTATTGAAGAATTCCTCTCTTCTTTATGTTTAGCACCCAAGCATAGTCTGCTGCAATAGCGTTTTAAACCCAGTGTCTACAACTGTTACATCAACAAAAAAAACGCCTACTTTTATAACCCGTTGAAGTTCAGATTTCGTGTTTGAATCGTTTGGTGAAGTGAAGTTTCTCCGGGAGTAGTTGTTTTGGTGGTGGTGTGAATATAACAATAGTGCTGCTTACCTTTCGAACACCTCCTGTGGTTTATGTCCGGTTAGATGCTTCTCTCTGTCTGCATCAGCACCAGCGCACACGGGGAGCGCCCTTCCGTGTAGGGACCGTCAGCAAAGTGACGCTCTATCAACAAACACGAAAACTGCGAATAAGTTTGAATTTCGCGTGTTTCTGTGAGTTACAGATAAAAGCTGGTTGGCGTCGCTCAATATCGCGTAACGTCAGGTTTGTCTCAAGGCATGGTTTTATCTGTGTTAACCCCCACCGCTTCCCCCTCCTAAAATAATTAAATAAACACATTTGACCAAATAAGCGATGGTTTGCACTGCCCTCTGCTGGTTGAAGTTGAAACTACGTGTTGTAGATCTATTGTAAGGAGCCGCTGCGTATGGCAAGCTGTTTAGACATCTAATATAGACCATTTCAATGCGGTCTTGTCATTGGCCTATGAACATTTCTTGCTTGTTATATAACTATTTTATAACTGTAACAAGATGCAATTCAATCATAACGTAACATTGTTAAAAGCTATAGAAATTAAAAATGTAAAAAATACTTTGGGACCATTGTTTTTGTTTACATTCCTTAAAATTATCTATAAGTAGGCTACTAGTGCCTATTTTCATACTAAAGCAGACATCCGAACTCTCTATGCTCCAGGACTCTCCCGCATATTCAGTGGCGCCCCCCAGAAAATTTTCGTAGGGGTGGCCAGAATAGGCCTTACTAAATCTTGGGGTGTCACATTACAAAATGTATTGAGTGTAATGTTATATTTTTGTGTCTGCTAAATAAAATAATGTGGCTTTAACTCATTTAATTAATTACTCTTGAAATATTACAACTTATTCCTTGAAATAATTCAGCAAGTTCATGTGCAAAACAAATAAAAAGCAATATTTAGTTTAAAAGCACTTTTCATATCTATAAATATCTTTTTAGTAATTGTTCACATGCTTTTATTTTACAGAATACAGTATTTGCCATGTCTAAAATTAATGAAGATTAATGAATTTATTATTAAAACTGACAAATTTTTACAAAAGCCATTACTATACACACACACACTCACTTTACAGACCCTAATGATATATTTTATTCATATTCCTTTCTGAGCCACAAAATTACTAATACTGCTTGTTGATATACCTTAAGGTGAATATTACATTGCCATTGCTGTCAATTGAAGGTGTGCTGTCAAGGACGATTGGGGAGGGGGAGGGGCAGTGAATCAGCTATGTCAGTTTCACCAATCAATCCACAATAATTTAGTGGCTGCTATTCACCTTATTCTCAGCTGTCGAGTGGGCGCTGCCATTTGAATCATTTTGTCTCGCGACTTCCGGTCACATTCACTTTCATTCATTTTTTGACGTTAACAACTGCTCGTTACGCTGCTTGATGTTGCAATTTAATATTTTCTTATTATATTATGCTACTTGGTCTGTGTAGTCATGCAAACTTTTGTTTGTTGAGCAAGTAGTTTGGCCATTTTCTGCCGTTTATTATTCCTAGTCATTTCTCCCATAGGCGACTGAATCGGAAGTTCTAAGATAATCGCAAAAACAGGCGCACTTCCGCATTTTAGAATAAGGTCAATTCATTCATTCATTCATTTATTTATTGAAATATTTTACATTTACGTAAGTACATTTAAATTAATAATATCAACAGCAAAACCTAATATCCAGAAAATGGAGGCATCACAGCCCTTTTTATTCATTCATTCATTCATTTTCTTTTCAGCTTAGTCCCTTATTAATCAGGGGTCACCACAATGCAATAAATTGCCAACTTATGCAGGAAATGTTTTCTGCAGCGGATGCCTTTCCAGCTTCAACCCAACACTGGGAAACACCCATACACTCTTGCATTCACACACATACACTACGGCCAGCTTAGCTTATTCAATTCACCTATACCATGTCTTTGGACTGTAGGGGAATCCGAAGCACCTGGAGGAAACCCACACGAACACAGGGAGACATGCAAACATGCAAACTCCACACAGAAATGCCAACTGACCCAGACAGCCCTCTTCATCTTCATGTAATTAAAAAAAAATAATACTACATAGGCTACTAGTTCTTATTCGATACTGGTAACTATTAATTAAAAACAAGTACTTTGCCATTTTTTATAAGATACCTTATAAGCACACGTCTAATGAATAAATACTAGAATCTAATAAATAAGTAAAAGCATCCAATGATTACAATATATACAAATATTTGGGCCTACATTATTAGTACCAGTCTCTATAAGAATTTATATTCTCTGCCCGAGCCTGAGCCCAGCCTTTTTTAAATTAGTTAACTAGCTTAATTGGATGGAAAGCTCTAAGCCATAATTAAAAATATTATACAAATATTTTAGCAAATCTGGCCTAAGCAAAACATGTGTGGTTCTACAAAGTTTGCACAATTTGCAACTCGAGTCATGCGCAGCAATGCTCTAGCTCCTGCAACAGCATCCCCCCACAGGCCGACATTCTAATGTGCTAAAATGGATTCCAAAAAACACACACACACACACACACACATGCTCACGCTCTGCTCGCACATGTTGTGTGAAAGAGGTGATAGCAAAAAAAAAAAAAAAAGTAACTTCTACGATTAACAGACACATGAAGCAGACTGGTTTACATGCTTTGTCCTTGTGGCATTATTCATTCATTCATTTTCTTGTCAGATTAGTCCCTTTATTAATCCGGGGACGCCACAGCGAAATGAACCACCAACTTATCCAGCACGTTTTTATGCAGCGGATGCCCTTCCAGCCGCAACCCATCTCTGGGAAAGCATTATTCATTAAGATAAATATATACTAAATTCTGTGGTTCAAACAACTTAGAATTGTAGTTGAGAACATCTGTTATAACGGCACACATGTTAAAAAATAGTTGGGTTTTATTTGGGCTCAGGCTCATAATTACGTTAATGTGTTGGACCAGGTCGGGCTCGGACACAAGGTGCACGGGTTCGGGTAGGGTCCGGGTTTAATTTTTTGGGCCCGATCTAAGCTTTTCCTAACAAACAAACAACGTTGCCTCAATGTAGCGACCTTCCTACAACGTTGTACCAACCTTGTTAAAAGGTTGAGGATCTACGTTATTGCCGAAGGTTGTCACAACGGTGTCATAATGTTGCCACTTTAACGGCCGTTGCTTTAGGTTGTGCTTAGGCGGCATGGACGACAACTGTACAACATTTACTCGTCATCTATGAATCAGTTTTAATTTTAACAGCCCGTTCGGCGTCTCATTCAACAACAACAGAGGAGACGTGAGTATTGCTTTATTTCTTCTTACTAAAGAAGACATCCGTGGTCATTTGTGTAGTCCTGTTGTGTCAAGCTCTGATCAGTTTTCTCTTGTTCTCTGCCTATTTTGACTTGTGGCTGCTGTGGATCCATCTCTGAACTGCATTCTCTGTTGGATTTCTTTCTCTGACTGCGTTCTCCACTACACCTGGCCTTTGGCTGCGCTCCACGGGCTGCTGTATTCTCCAGTCCAGAGCTTTGACATCCAGTGTTAATTATTTAATATAATCTAAACCTTTTTTCATACTGTTTGCTTGTAATTAGGTCTGTACTGTATGTATTAAATGTTGTGAAATATATAATAAAAAAGTTTGATTATATACGTTTGTGGGGCACTTACACTTTTAAGTTTACATATGCAGTTATTAAATTAAAAAAGGAAACATGAATAAACAATAATTAAAATGATTACTGCTTATCCTGTATTCTAGGCAGCATTGATAAACTCCCAGGAAAAGCGTTAATACATGTAGTAAGAACGTCTCATGGTTGCTGAATGTCACACGACAACGTTGCTACAGCCTTCTCACATCTTAAATTTCTATGCTGTAACAATGTAGAGAGCACATAAATGGCGACGTTGCCCTTGAAAAATTACAACGTTGTAGACATTGCTACAGCGTAGATGTGTTTGTTGGGTAGTCTCTGTAAAATAAAGATAGGATTTAATAAAACACAATCTAATGAATTAGTAATTATCTAAAAAGGTAAACGTAATAGTAAAAAATAAAAACTAGAATATAAAGAATAAGCACTAGTAGCTTATGGATAAGTGCTCATACTTAATGGAAAGTATACTACGGTAGCATCCTAAAAAAACGTGATACCCTACAATGCGCTATATGTTTAAATGGCTTGCCATACAACGTGCAGCTACATCGTAGACAAAACAACATGGTTCAGTGGTATTCAAAAAAGATGCGTATATAAAATGGCAAAGTCATGCAAAAAATACGTAAACACATTCATATTACCAGTGTTTTATACGTATTACTGTCTGTTATTACTATGTCTAGTGTTTCTGGATGCTGTCTTGTCTACACCAACAGGCGGTGCTAAACCACTGAGACACACCGCGAACAGATGCTCTGGGTATTACGAAATTATAACCAATTTGCCTTTTATGAATGAATCAAATGTGGTTTATCTGCTGTAGCACCGACGGCGAGGGATGAACTACGGTGTTGATACAGCGGCTCCTCTCCTTTAATCGGCGTCAGGTAAGCGAGCAACATCCTCATCCTGCTTCTGTTTCAAACAGATAGCTGCTGTATGATGCTTCAGGCATTGTATAATCGTCATAAACCATATCTTTAGCATATAATACTGCTTGTGGATTTAATTTGTGATGTGTATTAGAGCTCTACCAATTGTTTTAAGATCATAAGATGATGTTCAGACCCTTTTCTCCATTGTTGGAGATATTATCGCGTCATGATAAGCTGTACTGTACATGACACTTTAACGATGTTAATCGTGCAGTTTAACAAGTGATGGTAAATTAGCACACATATAAAAATAGATCGATGGATAAATAGAGTGCATTCTTTGATTAGCATATTTAATGTGCATATGTTTCTGTGTCAGATACTGTCCACAATTTCGTTTAAAGTTCATTCTTCAGCACTAAGCAGCACTGCTTTTTTTAGTCCTTCATGGCAACATGGACTCAACCACTGGCATAATTTTGGGGCGGGACTATTTTTTTTTGCCGACCAATGGAAGACGTGAGAATATTTAGGAAACATGTATGAAACGCATAATTTCTGCAGTAGTGATGTGCGATACCACTGGTTTACCACTATCCGATCCGATACCAAGTAAAAACACGGCGAGTATCGGCGATACCGATCCGATACCGATACTTTGCCTAAAATTACAGTTTGGAAAATTAAAGTATCAAATAATGTACTTTATACTAAATAAGAGACATATTACGGGTTATTCTTGTTTATTGAGGAAGAATTATCATAAAAAAAGAGCCAACTTACATATTAATTGACAGCATCTGAAAATGTATATCTTAAAACGCCTACCTGAACACCTTAACATAAAACGATAAACATTCTCACATTTTGGTCCCCTTGAAGATTTTTAACCTTTTTCCGTTGCTTTATCATTGTCACAAGAACCCAAGCCCCCAAAATACAGCCACATCGCCACATTTTCTCCCTCTGTACTTGGATAGCGCTTGCCTGCTGCGCCTAAGGACTTTAAAAGCGATGTCTGTCTTGCCCTAGCAGCACCTGTGCCTCTCCTTTCCTCCTCTTAATGAGCGCCTAGTTATGATGTTGTCATATTCTATCTTGTGATTTATATGTAGATGTTTGATTAGGTTTGTGGTTTTACCAGAGTACCTCACTGTTTTGTTACACGTGTCACAAACAGCATTGTTTGAGTTTATGGAAGTCAAGTAGCTTCACACATACTTCGCTTGCGGTCACCCACATTCAATGACTGCATGACTGAACAACAGGTGCCACGCCAGTGGACTGAGTGGCTAGCTACATGCTGTGCAGTTGTACAGTGCCATATTACGCACTTGACTTGGCAGGTGGAAGAACAAGTAGTTCCGACTAATTGTACATTATTCAGATAAACTAGGGTAATTGTGGTTGCTATACATTTGCTCCAAATTACTGAAATATCGATATTTTGATCAGATAATCAATTCTAAAACATACAAAGCTGGTATCGGAGATATCGATATTTTAGTATCGATCCGCATATCACTATTCTGCTGTTCAGTTTTGTAGTACAATTGATATTTATCCATGAAATAAATGATTTAGTAACACTTATTTAGTAACACTTTCCTGTGCAACACTTGTTGGAGACATATTATATTCAGAAAGCATTCCAGTACATCTACTGATATCATTCTTTACTTTTTATTTGGTCAGCCAAAGGTACGTATTAATAATATGAAAAACTTATCAGTTTTGTGAGGGATAGTTCATGGAAAATGTTCTAAATGTCCATATTAGTGGGTTTTCTATTCTGTTTTTACTTTTAGATTAAACTGGCCCCTAGTGACTCATGAAAATTAAAGTCAATAATGAACAATACTGCAGGTGTCAAAACAATATTTACAAATTAAAAATAGATTATACCCTGGGCCTTGACAATAGGGGAGAGCGGGGGGCAAGTAACACTTTTTGGTTTTGGTCAAATAATGAACAAAGTAATGGGGTTAGACAAACCATAGTTTTTTTTTACCAACAACCCACAAGCCTCTCCTACAAATGAGCACTGGAATTATGATTGACGGACCTATGGTTTCTGTGCAGTATTGCCAAAAGTATCATGTTAGTTTGAAGCAGAGTAATATTGATAGCTGTCGAAGTGAAATCAAACTGTTGAACTGATTGCTGATAAGAGATGACTGATACACTGCATGACAGCAGTGGAGCTTTTATTATGACACAGTCGATCAGGAACAGCGCTATTTTATCATAGTAAATATATTTTAGGGTTCTGTTGTAATGCTGCTTTGTAGAGCCTAATACAATGTACAACAAACATAACATTTTACAGTCTTTGGTGTTACAAACCCCTGATGTTTTTCTTGGGGAAAGTGGAGTTTGACATTTATATGCAATTAAAATGAAATTATACAAATAGGGAATTAAGTGCAAAAGCCAACCAAAGTAGATTATTAAAGAATGAGCAAGGCAAAATTATGTTTTTAAAATATATACAACTCTGAAACAAGTACAAAGACAGGGAAAAACAAGACAGCTGGCAGAAGAGACGTAGGCGGCACTGAAGAAATGAAAAGAACAAAACCCAAACTATGTATAACTCCCCCTAAGCATTTTACTAACTAACAAACTATATGAAACAAAATAACAGACACGCGAAGAGTCTTCCGAGTCGTAACCATCTACTCCAGTGGTTTTCAAACTGTGGTACACAAGCTTCCTTCTATTGGTACAGGGAGGAACCGCTGAATAATTAAAGTAAAACATGAACACACTTTTAACCCTTTGACACATACGATAACATCGATGTGATCGATTGATTTTAATTTTATTTTTGATTTTCTAATGTTTGCATTCCATCATTTGAAGCTAATTTCCTCCCCATATTTGTGACGGTTGTTGGGGCGTATCCCGTATTATTATATCCCAATGTTGACAGGTATAGTTTAATCATTTGCTTTTCTGATGTTCTAAATTCTGAAGTTATGTATAGATTTCAAACATATACAAATAAGTCAAATACACATGCATAGTATGTTTCAAAATTTATCAAAAAGAGTTTATAAGTGAATATGATGACATATTGCTAGGGCCAGATGGAATCTGCAGAAGTTTTTTTGTTATTTCTAAGGAGAATTTTGGTAAAAATCTGTGGATTTCTGCAGAATTATTTTGTATAATACTAATAAGTATTATAACTAAAACCTTAACATGTGAAATAAAAAATAACATCTTTTTAACTTTTACGTAATGTTTACAATGCAAATCCAATTAGATCCACTTTTTTGGTAAACAAAGCAAGTCTCTCATATGATATTTCTACTAAAAGACAGAAAATATTACTGCATTTTACATTAATCAGATTAACATTTTCTTATTAGTCAATAATATTACTGTAATTATTTTAAAAACTGAATAAATATAGATTTACTCAAGTAAATAAACTGAATTAATGATGGGCTAAAAATCTGTGGAAATCTGAGGAATTCTGCGCGCACAGATTCCGACCTTTATTTATGAGGTCCAAAAAACATTTCCAGGTTTTGATGAATATGCTACTTTATGATACTACTTTACATTTAAGTACAGCAGTTTTCTTTTTACTTTTTAAGAACAGTGCCAATTTTATTAGCTTTTAAAAGCACATTTTAATTTAAACGTTTATGTTTTATTTAACTGTTTTACCTGTGAGCACAGTACAGTGTAAATTCATTCATTTATTTTCTTGTCGGCTTAATCCCTTTATTAATCCGGGGTCGCAACAGTGGAATGAACTACCGACCTATCCAGCACGCTGTTACGCAGCGGATGCCCTTCCAGCTGCAACCCATCTCTGGGAAACATCCACACACTCATTCATACAGACACTCATACACTACGGACAATTTAGCCTACCCAATTCACCTGTACCACATGTCTTTGGTCTGTGGGGGAAACCGGAGCACCCGGAGGAAACTCAGAAAAAAGTCACTTTCATCTTGGATGGATTGGGTTTGAATAAATTAAAAGCAAATCCTAATTTGTATTTATTAAACTTTTTTATTTTACTTTAAAAATATATATATATTTTATTCAATAATATGTATCACTTTAAACTAGGGCTGCATAATATACTGTTTCAGCATTGATGTCGCAATGTGATCGCAATAGTCAATGAAGATGATGCAGTATTATTTTACATTTGATTATTTAATTACTTTATCTGAATACTGTTAGACTCCCCAGAAAACCAGAAAACACGGTTTAATTCATTTGTATCTTTTCCTTTATTGTAATATCCTGTGCTTGTAGACTGTTTATTACAATTTATGCAGATGCTACAGAATCATCCCAATTAATCCAAATTATAAATTGGCTGAAATTGTATTTATATCGCAATATATACTGCAGAAAACAAAATAATGCAACGTTAGATCTTTCCAATATGGTGCAGCTCTACTTTAAAGTGTACCATAGTCATTGGCACAAATTGTTGATACTGATCAACAATCATTGGATTGATGTTCTGAATAATAAAGACCTTTATTGTCTTTTTTTAATTGAACACAGGCATGTTGTTCAAGATGGGGAAACTCAAACTACTCAACACGATTGCTCCTGCATACTTCTACGCTGCAACCGTGGTCACATTCGCTCTCCACTTCCTCCTTTTCACGCCCACTATTTTCCAAAGCTCAGATGTGACTATAAATCCCGCAATGCTGGCTCACATCAGTATCTTTCTATTCCTCATGGGGAATGCGCTGGGTAATTACATCATGACTATACGGAACCCATCCGAGAGTGCCAACGAGACCGTTATCCCAGTCTGTTCACCCGACTGCCCGGACAGAATTGATGCGCACTACCTCCTGAATGGACGCCACTTCTGTAAAGTGTGCAAAAAGGTGATTCTAAAACGGGACCACCACTGCTTTTTCACTGGAAACTGTATTGGGAACAGGAACATGCGCTACTTTATTATGTTCAGCATCTATACGTCCAGCTCTTGTCTATATTCATTGGTAATAGGGGTGGCATATCTGACAATAGAGTACTCTATTTCCTTCGAGAACCCATTGACGTTCCTCACTCTTCTGCCACTCTCAACTGGTTACTTCTTCCTTGGTAAGTTTAAAGTACACATGGCATCAAAACTAACCATATGGTTTTTTTAGTTCACATTGCTAGTTTTGTGGTGAACAATTTATTTATGCATGTCATCAAGAGCAAAAAAGTGAAAATTGAAATCTGAAAATGCACTTCCTGTTTGTTTTTAGTGCAATTTTCAGATTACGTCTGTCTGAGGTATTGGGTGTGGCTAATATACTTAACCACGCCCCTTCAACTGTAAGTTTCGACAACAAACAGAAATGGCGAGGAGGAGCTGTCTGTTGGGTTGTTAATAACTCCCGAAACCTTTTTCCCGATCTCTCTGAATGAAATGGCCATTTTACTACATCCAATCAGCTCACAGTTTAAAAAACAAGCCACGCCTACTGTTTTCTCAATTAATATTCGATTTCTCTAGAAACTGAAACACAATTAAAAAAAAGGTCGCAGCCTCCAAGTAATTAAGCCATGCTTCCATTTTTTGTGCCTTATCTCACAAAGAAACTCTTAACTTACATATTTTCAGAAAAGTGGCTAATTTGTATGAATTCATATGGTTTTATATTCATATTAAAACGCAAAAAAAAATTTAAAAATGCCCATTTTTCACCTTTATTATAAGGGAGAGGGGAGTTGAGACAGGAATACAGTGTTGCCAATTGAGCAGTTTTGATTTTGACTGTGCAGGTAAAAAATGGCATTGGCGGGTTGACAAAATTTGGGCAGTTTTGAAACGTAACTTTTATATGCGACTTATATAATAAACCATAACTGTGTCCTCCTGCTCCATTCAGTTAGGTGTAACCAGTGCATAGCGCAAACATGAGACCTGATGAGACCTGGTTATGTTGTGGCAGCTGATGTTGTTTGCTGTGTGGTTAAAAATCATGACAGTTAAAGTAATTAGCTTCATTTCGATTTAAATTCATGAGAATTAAATAAGATATTAATATAATATTTTTTGTGCGTTTTGGTGGGTTTTGGACAGCTTTTGGGCTGAAAAAGTCAGCGATATTTGGCAACACTGAATACAAGGAGAGCAGAGTGAGGGGAAAGGATCAGCAAAGGACCTTGAGCCGGGAATCAATCTCAGGTCACCGCCAGCACCACAGTGCTATATGTCAGCGTACTTTGCCACTAGGCTGTTGGTGCCAACATAATTACACTTTTTAAAAGGAGCCATGTCTGCCAATCCCACTCCTAACCCTACCCCTAATTGAGGATGAGCAAATTGTACTAAAATGTACAAATGAGTATATGAATTAGCCACTAAATCAAAAAGTTTGGGATTGCCATGACATGGTGTTGGATTTTCCTGAAATGTGCTTTGCTTTGTTTATCAATGGATATGATAATACTCGTTTTCTCTCTTCAGGTTTGATTTCAGGTCTCCAGTTCTTTCTGGTGATAATGCTGTACATCTGGCTGGGTATTGGATTAGTGAGTGTTGGTTTCTGCTGTCAACAGCTTCTGCTAGTGGCCCGAGGACAGACCTGGTGTGAACTGCAGAAAGGCCAGTTGTCGGAGTGTCGTGGTACCTGGCGAGCAAACCTGACTGACGTTTTTGGTTCCCATTGGGTTCTGGGACTTTTCGTGCCGGTTCCGACTGTCGAGACTGTACCTGGAAACTGGCAGGTCTACCATGATCACAAACACGACTGAAAACTTGCCAAATCACTCTGTTTACCTTAATTTGGACCATATAAGGGCTTCAGTTCATTTGAGCAGCTTAAGCCCATCCAACAGATCTGCCTTTTTAGTGGATTTCTGTCATCACAGAGTAAATTAGGTGAGCGTTATATCACCAAGATGTGATAACATCCATATCTATGTCAATCAGCACTGTGCTGAAACCCAATTTCAGCCCTAGTTTAGGGCAGCAGTGATTAGAAGCAGCAATGATAGAGGAGGTCAGGATTAAAGCATGGATGAGTTTAAACAGTATTTACAAAACATACATATTAGGTAATCAGAACACATCAACAGTGGCCTGCTAAAATGTGGGTGACTGTTAGATTTGTTTAAACTTGATTTGAATTTGATTATATGCTACAAGAACTTGAATTACAATATAAATTGGTATTTAATTAATTATATGTGAATTTTAAATACTTTGTGGAAAATTATGCCGGTTTTCATCCACATATTTGATTTTGATGCAAATTATATACACTTAAAAAGTCAAACTTATGACTATATAACTATACTATATGACTATATACATAGTATAACCTTCTACTATTGCTTTTATTTCTTTTGAATCTTGTCAAGCCAGCAAGAAAGTAAACCCTTCTTTAAAAGATTGGGTCAGTTATACAAGGAAGGTTTACACAACTATTATTGACTAAAATTTTAAGACGTTTTTTGCGTTTTGGCAATTTTGATTTTTTTTTATACAATAGCAGCTTTTAAAAGTAAAAACACAATCTAATAGAGCCTCTTTATAAAGAGGCATAGCCACTTTACTGGACTGGGATGTGTAATACAGCTACAAAATATTACTATTTGAGACAAATGATGTTCTTCAGAACTTTATATTGCTGAAAGAACACAAAGGTTCCACAAATATATCAAGCACAACATAGAAACATTTAAAATCAATTTCAGATCGCATTACTGCTACATAAATTCTTCTTATTGAAGCCTTGTTGAGCATAAACAGTACTGTATTGTATGACAAGAGTTGCAGTTCTATTTAAATATCACTTACTGTGTGTGAACATCAATACATTTGAATGTCTTTTCTATCTAACATTCTCATGTCTGCGTCCTGTTTGCTACCTCAAGTCAAATTCAGTTTAAATGAGCAAAATTAGTTACCGAACCAGAATAAAACATTGGTATAATAGGTCATTTTGAATAGGTATTTCTGAATAGCTCACACACAGACCAATGTCCTTTATGTGTGACATTTTGTAACGGGTAAGATTAATTTAAAGTGTAACAATGCATACTTGGCTAGATGCAATTCTACAGTTAGGTACTAGATTGTTAGTAGATTATGTTACTATATTTTATTAAATGATTATTTCCTATCAATCAAATGGCAGATACAGTGCATCCGGAAAGTATTCATAGCGCTTGAGTTTTTCCACATTTTTTTATGTTGCAGCCTTATTCCAAAATAGAGTAAATTATTTCCTCACAATTCTACACACAATACCCCATAATGACAATGTGAAAAATGTTTTTGAAATTGTTGCAAATTTATTAAAATAAAAAACAAAAAACCTGAAAAATCACATGTACATCAGTATTCACAGCCTTTGTTGTGAAGCTCTAAATTGAGCTCAGGTACATTCTGCTTCCAATGATCAATCTTGAGATGTTTCAGCAGCTTAATTGGAGTTCACCTGTGGTAAATTAAGTTGATTGGACATGATTTGAAAAGGCATACATCTGTCTATATAAGGTCCCAGGGTTGACCGTGCATGTCAAAGCACAAACCAAGCATGAAGACAAAGGAATTGTCTGTAGACCTCCTAGACAGGATTGTCTTAAGGCACAAGGCTGGGGAAGGTTACAGAAAAGTTTCTGCTGCTCTGAAAGTTCCAATGAGCACTGTGACCTCCATCATTCATAAGTGGAAGATGTTTGGAACCACCTGGACTCTTTCTAGAGCTGGCCGGCCATCTAAGCTGAGTGATCGGGGCGAAGGGCCTTAGTCAGGGAGGTGATCAATAACCCAATGGTCACTCTGTCAGAGCTCCAGCGTTCTTCTGTGGAGAGGAGAAACTTACAGAAGGACAACCATCTGTGCAGCAATCCACCAATCAGGGCTGTATGGTAGAGTGGCCAGACGGAAGCCTCTACCGCCTGGAATTTGCCAAAAGGCATCAAAAGGACTCTTAGACTATAAGAAACAAAATTCTCTGGGCTGATGAGACTAAAATTGAACTCTTTGGAGTGAATCCCAGGCGGTACGTTTGGAGAAAACCACCCACCGCTCATCACCAGGCTAATACCATCCGTACAGTGAAGCATGGTGGTGACAACATCATGCTGTGGGGATGTTTTTCAGCAGCAGGAACTGGTAGACTATTCAGGATAGAAGGAAAGATGAATGCAGCAATGTACAGAGGCATCCTGAATGAAAACCTGCTTCAGAGTGCTCTTTACCTCAGACTGGAGGGATGGTTCATCTTCCAGCAGGACAATGACCCAAAGCACACCGCCAAAATATTAATGGAGTGGCCATCCAACCTGATAGAGCTTGTTTCCACTAATCATGCAAAGAGGAATGGGCAGAAATTCCCAAAGACAGGTGTGCCAAGCTTGTGGCATCATATTTAAAATGACTTGAGGCTGTAATTGCTCCCAAAGGTGCATCAACAAAGTGTTGAGCAAAGGCTGTGGATACTTATGTACATGTGAGTTTTCAGGTTTTTTATTTTTAATAAATTTGCAACAACTGTCATAATGGGGTATAGTGTGTAGAATTTTGAGGAAATAAATAAATTTAATCCATTTTAGAAAAAGGCTGTAACATAAAAAATGTGGAAAAAGTGAAGCGCTATAAATATAAATTTCCAGATGTACTATATCTTGTGGTTTAGTTATTGAATGTTTCAAAGGGCACTTATGAGTTTGGTACTCTAAACAAAGATCAGCAGATAAACATTATATATATAAATGTGTTTGTGTGTGTGTGTGTGTGTAATAATAATGTAAACAAAATCTGCTTTATTAACTGATTTACAACTAAATCAAAGCTAGCAGTATTTTTTTTTTTCTCTTCCCTCATTCAAAGTAATTAGTAATAATGGAGGGTCGCACTGTTCTGTAACTGAAACCCTCTTATAAAACAGCGGTGCACTATTAAGTTTCATTTCAGCGAGTCAATTATTGTAAGTGCGCGCTTAAGACAGCTCCAATCCCAAATTTGTTGATTGTTTTGAAACATGAAGCTTCAACATTCTCAGGCAGCTGTTGATTGAGAATCACATCTTATCAAAACAGCCACACTCTCCATGTCCCTCTAGACTGGATCAATTACTTCTGTTGCAGATTAGTTGAGGTTTTTAAAAAAAAACAGGGTTTTTTCCACTGCCACACTACTACATGTAAGAGGATATTTTTCTTTTATGTATATGCAGTTTGTCTTCCACCTTTTTAGTTGTTATGCTGAACTAAGTTAGAACTGTTGCTGTTTTCGGCGCATGAAACATATAGCATGGAATATTTTCAGTTAGTGCTTTATTTGTAATCAGTTAGATTGCCATCGAACATCCTGATATAAATGTGATGTAAAGCAAAATGCATTTATACATGGTTATATTAGGCATCATTTAGTTTTAAAAAATAACAATAAATATTATAACATTGCCTTTTTTGTGTCTGTGGTCATTTTTACCACTTGTTTGGTTAGTTTACTGGTAGAACAAATCATTGGGCAAAATATTAAATACATGTAAAATGCCTTTATTTTAGAAGGCACGGAAAAAGTCACACTGAAAAAAAGATTTATTGGATTCACTGCTTTTTTTTAAGGTAAGTGGTTGCAAACTATTTATACAGTATGAGCTGAATTTAAACAAAATAAATTTAGTAATGTTCAACTTAAAGGTGCAGTAGGTGACTGTCTTCAGACACATTTTTTGTTGTGCTGGTTGAAAGTCTCTTCACAGTCCTATAGTAATGATTACAGTAAATGATCTAAATGTGTTTATATTTTTTTTATATTCTGGATAAGACATGAAACTAAAAAAATGTTCATCCAATTAAATATAGTCAGGCTGACATCTCCCATAATTCCGAAAAGTTGCTCAAACTGTCAACAAATAAAGATTTGGGCTTTTGCGCATCTCTGTTCACACATATGCGCCATTAGCGTGTGCACGCCCGCATGAGACGATCACAGCAGCGGCAAAATCAAATGCTGAATTGAAACTTTTTAAACTCCTGAATCAATATTGGAGTTACTTTTGCACACTGGAGGAAGGACGACACCATGCCTGAAGTATTTCTGTTAGACAGGACAGGTTCTGTTTTTAAAACTATTTCAGCTTCACGCAGACCTGATGCAGATGCTACAAATGGGTTATGCACAGACATGTTGTTCAGCCACTGAAATCTCCCGGCGAAAGATTGACGTGACTGTTTTCAGTTTCATAAGGGCCTTTTACAGCATCAATAATGTAGATTTATAGTTTAACAACAAAACATGAGTAAATAGCGCTTTTCCGCCTAGCCTGCTTTACTGAGCTATAGATGCTTTTATATTCACATTGGGTTAATTCTGAACAATGACAGCCTGTGATGCTACTCTGAATATTCGCTCCGAAATAGCATGCAAGTGTGGCTTAGTAATAAGTATAATTCCTGCACGCCGCCGGCCTAACTTGCGAATGACATGAACTAGTGGGTTTTCTGCTGTCGTGTCGCGGTGGGCAATTTCAGGAGGCCTGGCTTTGAAACAAAGTTTCACAGTTTCCCCTACCGCCCAAAACTAATTTGCTAACCGACTAGCATTTTGGCAGATCACCTACTGCACCTTTAATCTGTTTGTTTAAATTCAGCCCGTATACCTCATTTTCAACCCCTTACCCTAAAAAGTTGATTAATTGCAATGAATTATTATTGTTATTATATTTTGTGAATACAAAACTGTACTAATTGTTCACAGCTAACTTTAAACAAGGCCGTTGCATAGATTTCTACTGAATAAAATGTCATTTTAGATCTGGTTTTGATATATGAACACAACAGGTTAATGCTGAAAAGAAAAAAAACAAAAAACAAGCAGGCTTTTTAGTACCTGCTTTCTCTAACAAATAGTCTGTATGTACGCAGAAAAGCAGGATGCAACAGAAAAAATTAAGAAAACCGATTTTTCTTTGTAAATGTAAACTCTCTGAACAATACTACACAAAGCATTGCAAATAGTTAACAGATTTAAACACCCTATCCAGCACAAATGATTAATAGTACTCCTTAATTCCAATGGTCTTTCCCAAAGACCAATGTTTCTCAACCATGTTCCTGGAGGACCACCGGCTCTGCACATTTTCTATGTCTCCTTAACCAAACACACCTGATTCTGATCATCAGCTCATTAGCAGAGCTGAAAGACCTGTAATGGGTGTGACAGAGAAAGGAGACATCCAAAGCATGCAGTGTTGGTGGTCCTCCAGTAACGTGGTTGAGAAACACTGCCATAGACAATAACAAGAACAAACCAGCCTGATCGAGGAAATGTAACTATTTTACGTTTTGTCAGTTTAGTGGCTAATTTGTATGAATTCATCGGATTTTAAAAAGGAGGTGTGGCACCCAACCCCGCCCCTAAACCCAACCGTCATTGGCAGATAAGCAAATTGTACGAATGAAAACATACAAATTAACCACTAATGTTACGAAATGCCATGAGATAGCGTTGGAACAAAAACGCATGCATGAGAAGAACATATTATGCACATACAAATGTTTATTACAAACACATTGTTACATTTAATTTCAAATACACACAAAGGTGATTCCAAGTTTCACATTTTATGCAGAATTGTTATAAAAACTAATTTTATATGCACTTATGTATAATCTCTTAAAGTAAAAACCAAAATATGTCATTTATAAAAAGGCATTCATTAGATACAGTGATGAACAAAAATGGAAGAAAAAAATTCATTTTGGTTTAATTTGATCAGAAATCTTTTTTTTTCTTTCCAGTTCCAGTGTTCCAAGGCCTCCTTCATGAATTGTATTAATAAATGAACAACTAGATTGCGGCTTTTTCAGAAAGAAAATGAGAAAAAGAAAGAGTTGATGTTGGATAGATGCATCTATCCAGGCCAGGCTTAAATAGGCACAAATCCATAAAAGTGCAAATGGGACTGGAGAGTTCTGCGAATGATGCTCTGACAATGTGCAAATTCAAGAACATTGAAAAAAAGCAGCTTATTTCCTTAATGACTAATGCTACTGATGAAAAATGGGTTGATTTGTTAAGTAATGGTGAAAAATTGTATAAACCGACTACCGCAAACCTTACTTAATGACATTAGATTGTTGTAAAATGAAGTTGTTTAATCTAATTAGTCACTAAACAGCAGTTTTTCAACACCAGATAATAATATTAAAATGGTTTACACAATGTAATGTAAAATGTAAATGTAATGTGTATTTATATAGCGCATTTATTGTGTATGGCCATACACCCAAAGCGCTTCACAATCATGAGGGGGGTCTCTCCACACTACCACCAGTGTGCAGCATCCACTTGGATGATGCGACGGCAGCCACAGGACAACGGCGCCAGTGCGCTCACCACACACCAGCTATAGGTGGAGTGGAGAGACAGTGATCGAGCCAATTCGGTGGAAGGGGATGATTGGGAGGCCATGATCGTAAGGGCCGATAGAGGGACTTTGGCCAGGACACCGGGGTTACACCCCTGCTCTTTCACGAGAAGTGCCATGGGATTTTTAATGACCGCAGAGAGTCAGGACCTCGGTTTAACGTCTCATCCGAAAGACGGGAAATGACAATAGCAAACTTGGTATATTTAGCCCACAAAGAAATAACTTCATTTCTCGACTCTTATCAAGGGGTAGTACCAAGCTTTTTAACAAGATGTGATATACAGTAAGTCTCACATGTCCACGTTTGTTAAGTGTACGCTCAAAATTCCTCAATGATTATAGATGATAAATCATTACAGAATTACTCTGGGAGTGTGCTTTTTAAACTCCAGATAGATGTTATAAAAGGCGCACCATCCAAATACAAAGGTTCTTCATCATGTCGGTCAAATACTATATTGTATATTCAATCAGAGAAACACAAAGACAACCCAACAAGACTTTTCTGTGCTTTAAAGATGTCTACATATGTATGTATTGGCTAATACAAGGCAAAATTTGTGTGGTCAGATAAAATCTAATACTGCATGTCTGAAAATAGAGTAGTAAACAAATAATCAGGAATGTATGGCTTCATATGTGAAGTCTGTTTAATTTATAACTATATAAATAGTTATATATTATATTGGGCTTTCATATCTACCCCTTATTTATCAAGGGTCACCACAGCGGAATGAACCGCCAACAATTCCGGCAAATGTTTTATGCAGTAAATACAATTGAATATCCAATTCACTTGTATTCATCCAATACAACTAACGCAAACATGGGGAGAACATGCAAACTCCACACAGAAACGCCAACTGGACCAGCTGAGAATGGAACCAGCAACTTTCTTGCTGTGAGGCGACAGAGCTAACCACTGAGTCACCGTGCCGGCCCATCTTGGGCTACTTGTTTTAGCCAAGAGGCCAATGTTTAGACTTCTTTTAAGCACACAAATGTCTGGTGTAAACATACAGTATATCAACCACTTGGGCAACTTTGGGTAGGAATAATTAAAATCCAGAATAGTGTGTCGAGTACTTTTTAGAAAGAAAACTCCTACAACAGAGGTGTTTGGGGCAGTTCAGAAACAGCGTTAAAAGATATAGAGTGAACTTTGTGCATTGTAACTTCGCATGATACTTGTTCAAACTGCAAAATTGTGCACAAAAGGAAGTGTTAAAAGCAGAAAAAAAACCCTTCAAAGTCTCAAATCTTTGACGTTTCCAAATGAAATTGTAAAATTTCCATAATAACATTTGGGCAAAGAGAAGTTAATTCCTAAATCGCCAGAATACAGTTTAAAATATGCACATCTGAACTGGCTACTACACCATACAGCCCACATCTGATAGGTCTTCCTCAACACCCTTTACAGAGTCCACCGGCATTTCCTCACTGTTTCCAGAGTTCTGGAGGAGGAGCTGCAATCTGGTCCAGACTTTGGGGTCTCTGCTACATATGGCCTCCAAAAACAGATCAGTCTGAGCCTGTAGACTCTGAAGTTGGGCCTGGGAGCGTTTGTTTTGTCGAATGAGTTCCTTTGTGCGCATTGTGATGCCCAGCAGGCCTGACCGATTCAAGATATTATACGTGTTGCAAAAGCGTTTGCGTTTGCTGGAACTTGGAGAGAGGGCTTCTGGGATACTTTCCACATCACTGCTCTGGCTGATTGAAGTTTTAGGGAACTTCTGAGGGAACGCTGCGAGGAAGGAGTCAGTACAAAGAGAGAACGGGGAAGTGGTGGTATGGGGCTCCTGAAAATCTGAAAGCCTAGACGGAGAGTCTTTCACATGCATGTCTTCAACGGTGTGACCAATTTCTTCTAAAGAAGAAATACTTGGGTCTACACCGTAACCACTAAAAGTCTCAGAGACATCCTGCTTCAAAGGGAAATTGTGGAAAGGTTTGTCCTCATAACGGTGTCGGTGATGTCTTCCAGCATGACTGTGGCTTGACCTCCTATTGATGGCACCAGGCCCTTGGTCAACTGTAGGTTCTTGAGCAGGATGTGGGGCAATTTTTTGAAAGGTGCTTTGCAGGGGAGCATGCTTTTTGGAATGCTTCTGCTTGTCAAAGCTTTGGCTCGTACTGTCACCGCTGGGTAAACATTTAGCAACAGGCTGTAGGTAAAGCAGCTGAGACTGGGGAACCACATCTAATGAAGTGTTTAGGCTCCAAGGTTTTAAAGCAGGCGCAGTAGAGTTCGGCTGAAAGAAGAAGAAATCAAATGTTTTTAAAACGGACACATACTCTTTGGCTCTCATCCACAATAACAGTTTGAGCCAATTGCAACTCATAGGACAACTTCAAAACTAATGTTGGGGGAGCTGCTCTGAAACTGTAGTTGATAAGCTACCCGCTGCACATCAAGAAAAAGTAGCTAAGCTACTGTTAAACTACACTTCTTAAAAAGAAGCTCGCAACAGGATTAGTTATTTCTTAAAATGTAGTTACTTACACTGAAACTTATTTCACAAAGGCAATATAAAGAAATGTTGATCTTAAGTAAAATATGTAATACATAAAACAACACAATATAATTATGATATAATAATGTATTGTTATGACAGTTTTCGAATTTCTCAAACTTTCAAAATTCAAAGTACAAAGCTGCAATAAATGTAGCATTGCATGTAGTATATACTGTACATATATATTAATTGATAAGGGATATAGTAGCATTTTCTCCATAAAAAACAAAAAAAAGGACAAAGCTATATTTTGTTTAATGTTTTTATTGAAGTCCTTGCAGGACATTTTTACTTCAGGTCAGAACTGTTAGAATACTTTATGAATTGATGGCTGTAATACACTAATGGCTTTCTGCTTCAAACCATTGCAGGTTCACTAAATGTACTGTAGCTGTCAAAAAGCTACTTTGCTAATTGCTGAAAATAGCTAGCTACTGGAAAAGGTACATAATATCATAAACAGTTGAGCTACTGTCAAACTAATAAAAGCATAGCTGAGCTACTTTATGCTAGCTACTCCCTAACAATTTTCAAAACACCTTTTTTATGACTAGCATGTTAGCCAAAAAAAAAAAAAAAAGGATAATGTGTTAGCTTTCTATATAACGCCTAAATAGATTATATGTTTAGGGTGTTGACATGTGGTTTTGGTTCTGCTGGTTTATTCGGCTTAGACCGAAATAAAAAAATAAAAAAGTATGTTGTATCTATGTTTCAGCTGATATCATGTAAAGAGTTTACAAAATGTGTAAAGGAACCAAATGAAGATATGCTGCAAGGAAATGATTTTAGACATCTGCATTGATCTGTAATGAGGAACATCACAACTTTAACTGGTATGCATGAACATTCTGTTCTTGTTATGGTGGCACCCTGTATTGTGTCCTGCTTTTGGATTATTTAGATGTCTCTGATTTGTGATTTATATTTCAGGTCAAACCGAACCAGGAGTTTGCATGCAGACTGAGATTCATATTTTCATCATATGATTATTTATTGTGCAGCAATAACTTAATTAAGTGAATTAGGTTCAAAGTTAATCAAGTAAAGAGAGCAATAGCAAATTTTTTGTATCAAACAAAATGTAAAGTATGAACACCTCTAAACTTCGAACTTAAAAACCTAAGAAATGTATAAGATGTAATGTGTAAATGTAATATTTCTTGGCATATGAATAGGTTCGTCCTTGTCTTCAGCGTGGATACCCTTGTGTGTCATTGACCCAGCACTAATATTTATAAATCAATATTTAAAGTAATCATCTCGTTCTGATTAACATCATGTTCTCGCTTGCTAGCATTGAGAAGCAGTAAATGAACAACATGTGCAATGATACATCTCTTCTCATGTGAAATGTAAAGCAGCTGTACATTAAAGATGCATTACGTTAAAAAAATCCACAACTTGCACTAATAAATTAATGAAATTTAATAAACAAGCACGTTATGAACTACCTCACTTATATCAACATCGCAGCTTGAACTAAACGCATTTATGAAAATGCTAATGTGGACATGCGTTAGAATTTTTTTAATACATCACAGTGTTGAAATTAAATTGAATTTCTCCTGTGTGCTTCTGATGTCTGAATTCACGATTTTCGCTAATAAATGATTTACAGACATCTCTAGTCATATTCATCTTTTTGTTATACATGTTTTGAGATTCAAAGAGTATTCAGTGCAATAATGATCCAATGACCTGAAACTACCAGCATATTTAATAAATACAGTTTTGAATTTGACCAAAACAATACTACAATCCCAAGTGTCACAAAATCGAAATATCTCAGGAAAGCAACTACAAATACAAGATAAATCCAGAATGATATGCGTGCGTCATACCTGCTTGAGGACAAAGTTGTTCATTACGATCATGGGAGATATGCCTGGATGCGAGCCAGTAATGAAAGGCACCCGAGGAGCTGTCGGCATGTTTAGTGCTGCAGAACCAGTTGGTCCAATGTCTTCAATGTCTGTCTGGTCTAGAGCACTAAAATATCCTGAGCTGGCATCTACGGTGTGAAGAAAATCATGAGCAATTCCAGCGTTATGGATGTTAAAAACTCAAAACATAAATTCACAGAGAAAGTATATGTTAGCATTATATTAAAACGTCCGTTTATATTTTCCACAGAATTAACCACAGAATTACAGATTAGAAAAATATCAATCTGTAAACATTTTTTATACTTTAAATTAGGAAAATAAGCATGTGTTATGGATCTGACCAAAAAAGTATGCGAGTTTATAGTATACAACATGCTTCGTAGAAATTCTGTAAATTAAACTGCACAACCCAAAAGAAACTATGCTCATCAAAAGCCAAAGAGTTGACTCTATAAAACAAAAATAATTGATTATTTAACATGTTTGTATTTATGAAGAAAAACAGCTTCGTTATGAATGTGACATCTATCCGATATGAATGTGACAGAAGCGAAATTAGCACTAATGTGACTTTGGTAAATATAATTGTTTGAGAACATTGCAAAGACAAGTTTGAGTATTTTTACAGTCCTCTAAAATACAAGCCTACCCCCATAAAAATGGGGTTATACCCTTAATTATGTGCTGTGTTTTATATATCCAGCCAGTAACATGGGAATTAGTTAGAATTGTGCCACTGAATTAGTGAAAGTCAAATCAGGGCATCACATTTTGCTTAAAACAATAATAATAATTAATGAGGTTGCTTTTATAGTCGCACTTAGTCATAATTTAGTGACAACTTGTGACTTGCTCCATATATCCTTTACCAAAGTACTTACCAAACTAATATTCAGATGGAAATCTTATGTAAGTATGAATTGAAAACAACATCAGGACTATTTATTTAACAGTGAACAAAATTGTACTTTGATAGTCATTGGCTGCTAAATATGATTTTACTATTTGGAATTTGCAAAGAATACTTTTCAGAAATTATATTATAAAGGAGAAATTCTGAATGTGCGAATATAAAATTTTAAGTCTAGAAAACCAGGTCAATGACTAACCTGAATCTTTGTCGGTGTCACTGGAGGCTTTCCGTTTGTTGCCCATGTTGAATCTTCTCTGGTGGTCCGATTTGTTTGATTTTAGTCTATCTGTACAGCCCTGATGCAGGCCGTGACTGAAAAAGACAAAGCCTTGGAGTCAATAAAAGAAAGTCAAAACCATGAAAGATGATAGCCTACTGTAACGTGAACACATTTATAACGGTGATATCAGTGAAATACAGCTCCAAACTGACAGTTGTACGCATTTAAACACCAAATATAAGATGTATTAATACAAAAATAGCTTTGGGATTAATTAGCAAGCACTACTACAATTTTGTGTTAGTAAACAAACAGCCCATGAATGAATCATAAGCAGAGTGCCATGTAAACATTTCCATAATAACCTAACACAGTGTTAACAAAAACATATTAACAGTTTAAATTCTGCATTAATAAAACAATAACTATGTTTTTAATCTAACGTTAAGTTACTTTAAACAGAGTCTGAATGTCAAGCTTCTGCAGCACTTGATACACGATGTTAAACACGAGACTCTCACAGTAACACACGATACAATATCAAACGCACGTTTTATTAACACTTACCAATAACAAATATTCTTTCGAAGTCGCTTTCTTGCTGAAGTCTGTGAACGAACTGACGGTTGACGGTCTCAAACTGAGCTTATATTTCTGTTGTTGTGGAAAACGGATCGTCTACACTGCAACGTGAGTTTACAAACTTCGCTCCGCCTCCTGCCCTGGCTTAAATGGCTGTTACCAGGGGAACAGCCTAAACGTCACTTGTTTTACGATGCAAGATCCGCCTTAACATTTGCATAGCGCGTTCTGATTGGCGCAGAGCTGAACCCTTGCGACTGTAAACGTGACTGAAATGTGGTGTGAAATCTGTACTGCTGTGTCAAGTGTGATCCAGCACGCGCCGCGGCATCATCTTAATAATCCCATTATAATGTTCACTGCATGCAAAAATAGGGCACAGAATTAAAAGTACGTTACAAGTTGTGCTTACAAAATATAATAATTATTACTATTAATATTAATACTGGTAATAGTAGTAGTAGTATTCACGTGCTAGTACTGTTTTAAAATGAAAAAAGTAAGTAAATTAGTTTGATACGGTATTAAATAGTTCTTTAAAGGTATTAACTAGCCCTTTATCCATCCAGTACTAATTCTTTTAACCTGAAAACGCATTCTTAAGAACTTATGATATTAATATTAAATTATAATAAGAATTATATTAAGTCAGTTATAAAGTTACCAATAATTCATTCCACAATGTCATGCGCTAATATACATAGAATTTGGCAAGGTGCAACACATGACAATACTGTATATAAGAAACAAAAAACACAATCTTCAAAACAAAATCCCCTCTTAAAGCAAACATGAATGTTTAATTTGTACTCCCCTGGTACGAAACAAAACTTGGGGACTGTCCAGAAGAATTCATAAATAATCTGTATGTAATTTCAGGTTACCTTCAGCATATACCAGGGTTCTTCTTTAAATTTATGCAGTTAAATGTTTCTTTTTCTGTCCACTAGGTTCTGTACTGCCTTCATAATATTCAGATTTGGACACTGTGGAGGCCATTTTAAGACTGTGTTTCATCAGCCGTTTTTCCTCTTTAAATAAATATTAATCATATATTATAATCAGAACAAAAATATAAATAAACTTTTTTCAATCTGTATTTCTGGTACACTATAATAAAGAGAGTGATTAATAAATAAATATGTGAAAATTGAAATCTGAGAAATGAGATTAAAGATTGAAAAAAAGCTTTCCATTGATGTGTAGTTTGTTTGATATTTGTATAATGTTAGTTAGAATAACTGGCTGAGATTTTTAACTATCTGGAGAAAACTAAAACTATCAGAAAATCTGGATTCTGAGGGTCCAAACAAACCTAAATATAGAGATTTAAAGATTTCATATATTTAAAGTAGCAAATTTACAAAATATCTTCACAGATTAGAATCTTTACTCAACATTCTAATGATTTTTGGCATAAAAGAAAAATATATGTGCAATATTAGACAGGTTTTGTGGTCCTGTATCTAATATAGTAATTTCCATCACTAGCAACAAATGTAATGGTGGCCTAAAACTTTGACACAGTACTGAGTACATTAACAATAAAATACACCACAAGTTTCACAAAATATTTTTAATGATAATCAGAAAAAACAATAGTCACTCTATAACGAAAGGTACTTTTAAATTTGTATAGTTTTCATACATATCAACAGTATTTTTTTTAGAAACATACAACATTTTTATACTTTGGCAATTAATAGCCCTTTAGTGAAAATTATTGCATTTATATTTAGGGCCCTGCACTCAGTCAGCAGCATAGATAATAATGCTTCTTTGGTTCAGTTCCCGCACTTTACAGAGTCCAAAGTGTAGGAAATCATTCACTTTCACTGACAGAAGAATAATAAAAAGCATCAACATTCACTCAAATCATGATTGAACGTCTGTCTCGTTTCATGTTGACTGGTCCTTTCAGAGCAAAGTCTTTGTCCTCACACAGTGCACACATTAAATCTTTTATTTTCTACCTAAACGTAAATATTTAAACGATATATATTCTTGTGGAATGACTTTCAGGACAACGTTAATCCAAAAACACTTTGCGAGTGTTTTTAAGTCTTTCATTATTGCCACTAGAGGTCAGTATGTCAATCCACTTATTTGAAGAATATGGCAAGCCGTTTTAACAATCAATCTATAAAACATACTTCAATACATTTATTCAGCCAAGATGAGTAAATATTCTGTTGTCACTAGTAACAAATGAAATATTATTGTTGACTTTTGTGTCACTGAGGTCTATTATTCATTCTGACTACCATTTATCTGTATATTAATAGTTATTCATTAGGTACTAGAACTTATTTTTTTAGATGTGCACCTTTTATTCGATACTAGTTCTCATTTGATAGACAGTATTACCTGTAAACAGATACTATTGTTTGTTAATTGCACTAATATTATTAATTTGTATTTAGATATTAGATATTTTAGGCCATAGGTGACAAAGGCTGCATCTGAAATCACCTACTACTCAGTAGGTACTGCATTTGAATTGAAGCGTACTATTCAGCCATTAGAAAAGTACATTCTATACAGTAAGAATGTCAGTAGTATGAATAGAACTCGGACATACTACATGCGCCAATTTGTCATCATCACATGATCTACCCAGGTCAGTTGCGTTGCTTCACTCCCAGTCATAAATTCTTGCATGGTGCATCGTGGGATAGCGTATCGATTATCTGATTACGCACTTCAGAATCTCGTCGGATGTAGTAGGTCATCCGGGTACTTCTCACATACTGTTTATCCAATACTATGAATCCAGACATACTACTCGACTGACATACTATTTTAGCGTACTATATAGTATGGAAGTAGGCGATTTCAGACACAGCTAATCTTAGTTCCTGGAGGCCCGCAGCTCTGCACAGTTTAGTTCCAGCCCTAATTAAAAACACCTGATCAAACTAATTTTGTGATTCAGGCTTTTTTGAAACCTACAGTTAAGTGTGTTTTTCCTAATGATGGGTTTCAGCTGGAAAGGCATCCGTTGCATAAAACATGTGCTGGATAAGTTGGCGGTTCATTCCGCTGTGGCGACCCCAGATTAATAAAGGGACTAGGCCGAAAAAAATATGAATGAAGGTTACGGTGTTGAAGCAGGGTTAGAACTAAACTGTACTGGGCTGTGGCCCTCCAGCAACCGAGTTTGGAACCCCTGCATTAGACCTATTACCTATTTGATTAATATTAGTATGTATTATAGATATTACTTATTTAGTAGATTAATTAATTACTTATTTACGTGTTTATATTTATTTATTTACTACAAGTACTAGAACTACCAATACATGTGTACTAGCATGTACTAAATAAGCACTAATTGCTAATCAGGAAAGACTATTATCTAAGAAGTAAGGGCCCCGATATACTTCAAACAAAATAAAAAAAGAACTGAAATTACATCATTTTGAACAAAATCCAGCCAAAACAAAGTTCTTTTTGCAGCAAACATTTTGGAGTTTGTTTTGGTCCTAAACATCTTTGCGCTACCATTGGTCTGTGATGAAAAAAATCACTTCAGTACCTAAAGAATGTGTACAAGTAGCTAATGAATATGTAATAGAAAAGGTACTATCTTAAAAAGTAAGTACTAGTAGTGTGAAAATAGACAGTAGTGTATTTAAAATATTAAACTTTAAAATGGCGGGCAGCATGGTTGCTCAGTGGTTAGCACTATCGCCTCACAGCTAGAAGGTTGCTGGTTAAAAACACGGATGGGTCAGTTGGCATTTCTGTGTGTTTGCATGTTGTCCTGTGCTCGCATGTATTTCCTCTGGCTGCTCTAGTTTCCCCCACCGTCCAAACACGTACGGTAAAGGTGAATTGGATAATTTAAAGATGCTGTAGCGAATGAATGTCAGTGAGAGAGTGTATGTATGGGTTGTGGCCGGAATGATATCCACTGCATAAAACATATGCTGGAACAGTTGGCGGTTCATTCCGCTGTGGTGATTGCTGATAAATAAGGCATTAAGCCAAAGGAAAATGAATGCTAAAAAGGCTTGCCATAGTGCTAAACTCACACAGAAGCTCTAGTCTGGAGTTTTAACCACAGCATCACGTATGAGCGTCTGACGAGGTTTTCGCTTAATTAAAGGGTAATATAGTTTGCATAGCAGTAAAGAGATGAAAACATCTTTGGCATTTTCATTGTGTGATTCCTTCTAGACTTCTTTCCAAATACACAATGCCTTTGTTGATCCCTAATCATGGAATGCAGCTGTTTTACTTCAGCGGATTTTAATAAATAAGAGGGAAGACTGGTCGCTATTGTAACTATGCTACTTCTACTAATAATAATATTACTATTAAACAATAAAATAATTATCTTATTATATTATTATGATAATGTCCAAAGGGTTGACGTCAGTCTAAGATTTTAAGTTTGGTCTCCTGCTGTTGTTTTTTGTTTTGTTTTTTTCTTCAGTAAGAGCTGTGCAGCAGTTTTTCGGTATGGATGACTGGAAGCTCCCCCGTGTGCTGACAGAAGCCCCTCTACCATTACAGCTCTGCGCCTGGATCGAGGAGTGTGGAGAGGTGGCGGGATCCAGGAGTGAATGATGACCATGGTGAGGGTCGCACAGAGAGGGGCGGATGCGCGTGATTGACTGGCATCATGGCGAGACAGCGTTTACCTGCGGGGAGGCTGACACCTGTAACAGAGCATGCACACGCACACACACACACACACACACACACACACACACACACACACACACACACACATCAGTGGAAATGTGTGCTTAAGATCAGAGAACAGTGCACTCTTTGTGTTGTTTAAAGACTTGCTCTTATCAAAATGTCACTGAAAATGAGGAGATTTCATTTTAGATTACGTTTTAGAATCTAGTTTTAAAATGTTTGTTTTTTTCATAGTATTTTAAAATAAGCAGTTTTGAATGCAAAATTTATATTACAGACATTGCCTTGGGATCATATTTTTTTTAACAAAGACATACTGGAAATTCATGCTTTAGTTTTCGTAAATTTGCATATAATTTTTTGTTTTAAAACCGGTATGAGTATCTTTCTTCTGTTGAACACAAAGATATTTTGAAGAATGCTGGTTGTTGGCACTTATTGACTTAAATTATAGGGGGGGAAATTACTATGGAAGTCGATGGGTGCCAGCCACCAGAATTATTTGACTGAAGAAAGAAACTCAAATAGGAGGTGAACAAGTGAAGGGAGAATAAATGATGGAAGTGTTTTTATTTTTGGGTGACTTTAAACTGCAAAAAAAAAAGCACTTAGACATATGTTTCTACGTAAAAACTATTGTTACGGTACACAATATTTCATCATATGACATCACATAATCTATAATGATATTCACAGTGACATTATCAAAAAAATAGTCCATCAACATGCTTTTTGAAAGTACCCATGAGAAGGTATGTTATGCTGTGCAGAAAAAAAGTAAATAGCCCAATGGTTTAGCACTGATAAGATATAAAAAATTATATTTGAATTTGAGTGGCTGGAGAGGCGTCACGGTGGTGCAGTGGTTAGCACAATCACCAGCAAGGACAGTGGTTCAACCCCGGCTGGGTCAGTTGGCATTTCTGTGTGGTTTTCATGTTCTCCCCGTGTTTGTAAGGGTTTCCTCCGGGTGAAAGCGATGTAGCGCAAAACTGCAAGTGCAAAGATGACATGTCGTTTACTTATTATTATTCATAGCAGAGTTTTCTTATCCTATGAGAAGAGTCGGCTTCTCATATATTCATGACTTTCCGAAGGCAAGGCAGACCTGCCATTGCCAAACTGTGAGACACAGCCACGGCACACGGTATTTAGTTGTTCATTAAGGGAAGCATGGACACCAGCCCTCCAGAACCAAGTTTGGACACCTCTGCTCTAGATAACCAATAGAGCCAATGGTTGAAAAACGCTGGGCAAGAGACCTGCTGCACTGAGTCTGCATTCAGACCCGGGGATTGGTAGAAAAGTCCTCATTTATAGTGTTTATATGAACATGATTATCTTTATAATTACATAAACTGTGGTTATCTGTATATGAAATTACGAATAACAAATGTAGCAGGGCATTAAATTACTGTTTATATCTTTGCATTTTAACTTTGTAAACTATAAATCATGGGTCTCCTCACAGTTTGTGTCTCATTTTGTGAGCTAACTACCAACAGTTGTTTCTCTTCCCTCTATGTAGGATATGACCCTTTAAAACAAGTCCAACAATTCAGTGCTTATAATGACTAGATCTGTCAATATGGACAAGCAGAGGTTGTAGCCTCTTAATCTCCTTTACTCACCTGGGTTATGACAGTTTCTGTGAGTGAGTGACATGAATTTATCCAGCTACATGCTTTTATATAAATTTTTCATTGAAAGAATTTCAAATCTCATTCTTGATTATGAAAATGTACCTGGTTATTGCATTGCTGGGTATGAGCCTGATGTACAGGGGGTGCTATTGCATCCCTAGTTCCAATAGCCATGATTACAGAATCAACCTTTGTTTACACACGTTACATTTACAACACTTGACAGAAGTAGACAGACACAGACATAAGTAACAAGGAGGTGTACAAATATAAAAATAGAATTTTATATAAATTAGTTCCAAATATTTAACTGAAAAATTATACCCTTTAATTTGAATAAATCTCATTTCATTAGAAAAACTATAGCTGGCCAAGTATTGAAGACATTTAACTATTGTCTTTATGTATTTCCTGACTATTGGGCAAAGTCTGAAATGAAGTAACACCTATACATGTTCTATATGTTGATGAGATAAGAGCTGGGGAAATTATGTACTTCATTTGCATGCTCTGTTTCCATCTCTATGTATTATTGCCTATAAAAATGTATTTAACTGAGTGCCTGGCTGCACTAGTTCAGATTTTTTGGATGAACGACACAGATAGCGAGTTGTTATAAAAGATTCTGCTTTGAAAATACCCAAAATTTTCTCCTGGTTTGTCTCTTCTTTCATTCACAACAAAGGCATCAGTAAACTTCTTAGGGGACCGCCATTTTTTTTAAAATGAAGACAACATAAACATTAAAATAGTCTAAAACAACAGACCAAGATGTACAGCACAATAACTTTAAATGAATAACATATTATATTTCTTTTATTCATGAAAATTGTAGAAATGTTATTTATATCCTTGGATATTTTGAAAGGTCAGTAAGTGTGATAAGCATTGTTAGCTTAGCTGAATGCTAATATACGGTAAACTATTAGCAGACGCTTTACTTACCGGTCACAGTCTTTGGCTTTCTGCTTCTCCTTCCTTTTTCTCCCTCTATTTCTGGGTTTCCATCTACAACAAAAGAAACAATTACTCCATTTAGTCTATATCCTATATTAACAAAAATGCGTAAGTGTAGCACAACTTGTTACCTGTCTTGTTTTGTTGTAGGTTTTCTTAGTCTTGGAATCACAATGTAAAAGAAAAGAAAGCAAAGGGACTATTAAAACACCTCTATTTCCGTTCAGCATGCAGTTTATTCCTCATTTATGTTTAATACTTTTATTTATAATGACAACCCAAAGCTGCATCGCAATGCAAAACACAGTGCTTACATAAACTGAATAGATGTTTTCCCTTACCTACATTCACAGGCTTTGTGCTCCACAAAGGTCATCTCCACATATTCCTGGCCCTGCTCTGCTGGCTTAATCTTTAATAACTGAAAAAGTCATAATATTATTAATATCCACCCCAACTACGTGCTTGACAAACAAAGTTTTTGAATTTAGTGAAAACCCATCCAACATCAGTGATGCAATTTTTATTTATATTTCCACATTTCCTGTAATTTATATGACTGTATTTTTGTGTTGGTTTACTCGAGCCAATGATGTGCAAAAAGAAAGCCCCGCCCCCTACTCAATATTCTGTTTCAGTTGGAAGTACGGTCCCAATTTATATTAAGTGTCCCTAACTACTATGTACTTACATCAAAAAAATAAATACAATGTACTTACTGTGTTTATAATGTATTTGAGAACACTTGTGGTGCTTTTGAGTTGGGATAGAGGTTGGGTTATGGACAGGTTTGGTGGCATGGGTAGGTTTAAGGGTGGGTTAAGGTGTAAGGGATGGTCAACAGTGTGTTTACAAATGTAATTACAAAAGTTAATTACAGATGTAACTACATACATGTATTTAATCAAGCATAAGTACACAGTAAATACATGTATTTACACAATAAGTACATTGTAACTACTAATTCCTATGTACGTACATATTGAGTTAAGGCCACTTAATATAAAGTGGGACCGGAAGTACCTCAACATACTGAAATAAAAGTCTCAGCAACTTTCAGTTCACTCGGACATAACCTTTATCCAAAAGAAACTTATCACTAACTCTTGCACCTTTTCATCAGAAAACTAATCTGAGGTTTATAGATTTAGATATAGATACCGGCATAGACTGTTGTCCTTACTTGCATGGTGGTGTTGGAAGTGAGCGTAGGGTGACACTCCAGATTCTCATCGCCACAGCAACCAGCGCAACGGACCAATGGCACGCAGGCGGGGCTGAAAATGTGCTCCACCTCCCCTGGGTACTCCTGAACCACCTCCACCAGCTTCTCTATAGTGCGGCAGAAGCTCTTCCCCCAAACCTCCTGAAACAGCATCACTGCAGCACAAATGGAAAAGGCAGGAGGAAAACATGTATACACTTTACATTTTTATACCTACAAAAGTGTATATGGACATAATAAACACTGCAAAGCAAGTATAAACTGATAATCAATTGTTAGCATGTTAAAATTATTCAGTTAATTAGATTAGATAGTTGGCACACACACACAGACAAATATACATTCTGACATAATAAATCATGATATGTTTCATTAGACAAGAATTGGTTAAGCCAACTACAGTTTAAAAACAATAAATATATTTTAAAGAGCCCATATTATGGGTTTTTAAAAATTCCCCTCCATGTAGTGTGTAACACAGCTCTAAGTGAAGTGAAGTATCCAGCTAAGGCTTAAATCTGTAAGAATACAGTGTTTAAAATGGTTGATTCATCTATAAAAGAGTCGACTCGTAGTGCTTCAAACGAGTCGCCTTGATACCGAGTCATTAGGTGTTTCGCCATGACGTACGAACGAAACCAAGTTATTCACGTGCACGCGCAAACCCGGGAGATTTCAAACCTGAGGCCCCGCCCTCTGACGCAGAAACCCAGACACACACACACACACCCACAAACACATGCACACAAATATGCCGGTCGATTGAAGTCACACTGCAGATGGATATTATATCGAGTCTCTACCCAAAGATGAAACATCAGCATTATAACCAAGCAGTTGGAAACTACTGGAAACTTCTGGAAGCTACATGCTACAAAGAATACTTCATCTGAGTTTGTTAAAGGAAGGATCAGTAAAGAGTAACTTACTGATGGACGTCAGGATGAGTTTCTTCCATTTCTCAAGTGTAAGTACGTGCGGTTAAAGTTGTTGCCTCGTTGACTCTAGCTTGCTAATGTATTTAGTTGTGATTTGTCACTTGTAACCGCGTGTACTGTATCAGGTTAACTGGCTATATTCTCTTATCGCGTGCAAAGTCAGGTTAAAAACGCGACGCGTGCTGCTTTGTTTATGGAGCTCCGTGGTAGAGGTCTGCATACCCGCGGCTGTCCCCACGCCAGATTTCTGCGGCGCGGGAATAAATTTCCGAATAAATCACGGGAGCGCGTATGAGAGAGAGAGAGAGAGAGCTTTGTGTGCTTGGTGCTGTGTGTGCGTTCATACAGACAGCTTGGCTGTCTGGACTGTATAGCTGGGTGATTTTTGGTTGTGTTCTCCCCCGCTCTTTAGCGGGATCGGTCGTGGCAGGCAGAAAACGGGGCGGGTTCTCAGGCTAAAACCTGGCGGGTGCGGGCGGAAGCGGGAGCGTTGTCGTCCGGAGGTGTGTGTGTGTTTTTGTGTGTGTGTGGCAGCTAAAATCCACGCCTACACTATTGAGCGTGTATGAACTGTGATTACTTTTTATATTGCTGATTAGCTATTGGTCATTTCACTGAAGGCAGTCGACCAATCGGGACAGACTGTCATCGGTCCAATCAGCGCAGATTAGCTTCGCGCTAAGGAGGGGTTTGGGAACAAATGAATCACTGGACGATTCATACAGGAGTCGCTGGGATAATTAGATAAAAATAAATGCAGATTATAAGACCATGAAAGTGTTTTTTGACCTTGCATGCATATTAGACTGTTGTTGGAGACCCTTACAACCAAGATATGACCCTATTTCATGTATAATATGGGCTCTTTAAAAAGTTATATTTGTCTGTATTTAAGATTTATAGGTTTGATGGCATTTTTGTTTCATTCTGTAAACTACTGGTAACATTTGTTCAAAATGTAATTCATTCATTCATTCATTTTCTTTTCGGCTTAGGGCATACTCTTACACTATGTACAGTTGCCTTGAACCAAGCCGAAGCACGCTTGTCCCCCCTCCCGTCTCCCCCGACGGCCCGCACTCACATTGCATTCGCAACTAAGCAGACTTCTGTCATTGATGACCCGCTGTTCAGTTCAAGCGCTCTCGCTCAGCACAGTGGAGATTTCTTTAGTTATATCATTTTAGACAAGCAAATATTTCGCCAAACAGATCAGCCACTTTTGATACTCATAACCAGTCATAAAGTCCTCATGCTGCAAGAATCAGGAGGTTTGCTAAAGGTGTAGCTGTCGTGCAGTGAGGGGTTCATTAAACAGTATGATAATAAATCCATATGAAACAGTCCCGTAAAAGTCACGTCTCGTCTTCAGTTTCGGGCTCAGGCTCAAGTGAACCGTGCCCTGGCATACCGATTCCAAACGGGCCAGGGCCGGCCAAGTGAACCATGCCTGAGCCCGATTCAGAGCACTCACAGTTATCAAACGATCCGGGAAATGGGCATGGGCACGGTACGGATAGCATAATGTGAGTGCACCCTCAGTTCCTTTATTAATCAGGGGTCACCATAGTCAAATGAACTGTCAACTTGTACAACATCCTGTATGTTTTCTGCAGCGGATGCCCTTCCAGCCATAACCCAACACTGGGAAACACCTATACTCTCTTGCATTCACACACATACTCTACGGCCAATTGGGTTTATTCAGTTCACCTATAGCGCATGCCTTTGGACTTGTGGGGGAAACCGAAGCACCCGGAGGAAACCGACGCCAACAAGAGAAGAACATGCAAACTACACACAGAAATGCCGACTGACCCAGCCGGAGCTCGTACCAGCGTCCTTCTTGCTGTGAGGTGATCGTGCTACTTACTATGCCACAATGAGGCCCATAATGTAATTTATTAAATGTAATTTATTTTTGTTTATATTACACTAGTTTCAGTTTATATTAACCCTGAATAACAATCAGGAAAAAAATGAAACATTTGTTATTTGACCAACTGTCCTTTTCAAAAAGTAGAAAAAATTATATTTTTTAAATATTTGCAATTTGAGGGCAATACTATCAAACTTTTAGAGAATATTAATATTCCACTCAAAATCATGTTTAATAAATCCAGAGAAACCCAGTGAGTTTTCAAGTGGTCTTTTTTTTTTCAAAGCTTTATAAAAGAATAATTTCTTAATACAGAAAACATTTGCTTTACAAAATTGTTGGAAAAGCCATTATGAAAAATATCTGAAGTGTGTGTATGTGTGTGCGTGAGTACATCCTGTTTTTATTATTATTATTTAAGATTTGTTTACTTTTATATTACTGTTGGTGTTGTTGAGTTAGTGTCAATTTCTCTTCTACATTTGAAAAATATAGAGGATATACATAACTAATTGTTCAGTATAATGAACAGTCCTTAATGAACTTTTGTACATCCTGCTGTTAAATATGTTATACAATATGATGTAAAAACATTAAATCTCATCTATTGTATTAAATGTACTTTTTAATACAGTTATAAAAGTAATTGTAGCAAAATGAGACATTTCATGGCATGACCATATTTTCTTACCTTTATCAGTGCTGTTTACATTGACCAACGAAGAACTCTAAAACAAAGAGAATAAAAATGGGTTATAATCCACTCCAAAAGAGCATAAATGAAGGGAATAAAAAGACACACATTTATTAGTATTATCATTGTTAATAATAATAAGATTGATAACAGAATGTTGATCTTAACTGAGTAACCCCACACTTTAAACTTTTTTCAATAGATATAAAAGTCATTGATATCTGGGGTAAAAAAAAAAAAAAAAAAAAAAAAATATATATATATATATATATATATATATATATATATATATATATATATATATATATATATATATATATATATATATATACATACACACACACAAAATGTGTAGAAATATTTTTAAAAATAGCATTTTTAAATTATTATTATTATTATTATTAAATATATTACTCATCCTTCTTCCCATAGTTTCTTTATTTATTCGTATTCAGTTCTCGTATTGGGAAACATTGATTTACATGACAGGGCTTTAAACAACAGCACTCACTAGTGGCAAAAAACAATAATACAGGTTTCCTCCTTTGTGTTTTTACAGGACATTTACTCGACCTAACATGTGCCAGAACAAGAATCTGAGACATATCATATTCGTGTGTGTGTGTGTGTTCATTTAACAATACATTCTGTTCAAGTTTAAAATCTGCTTCCTGAAGAATATGATTCAGCTATTTATTTTCCCAGCGGTTCATCTCCCCCTGCGGTTATTTTCAATTGAGCCTAGGATAAACAGTATATTTTTTATTCGATCAGCCAGAAAAATGCAACAATCAGTTTTTAAGTCAGCGCCTAAAGGATAACTACATTTGATACTTGACTAAAAGGCTAAATCTATCGACCTCCACATCTGAAAGTCAAATAATAATAAGCTGAAACAACACAATTCTTGAGATTTTGGGGGGAACAACTTTATTGTTTTATGTTCAATCCACTTAAATTTGTTAATTTAACTTCATCGATTTTTGTTGGGACAACATGAAGGAATTGTGTGAAACCCTGCATTTTCTACAGAGTATGCACTACATCACAGACATGCCTTGTATATTCTAGATGAATGAAAAAACTAGGGTCACGATCAGGCAATAAAAAAAGATCTACACACTTCACTTTGTCTCTTTACGAGTCTAGAATTTAAAGGCAAGGCTGTGAAAGTGGAAGGGAAATCCGGCAGGGTCAATGTGGTCACTGCGTTTGCGATTTTCAGTCTGAATGGAGGGAACTGACGGAGTCATTTACTGTAAAAGAAAGTGCTACCATTAACCTCATGCTATATAAAACACATTCGGGAGTGCAGAACCTTCGATTTCACTCTCCCCCGTTGATTAAAGTCGCTTAAAACAGCTTAATGGGCCATTTCCTAAGCAGTTGCTGACTATAAGTGAGATGCATGAGTTTATTTGGATTTTTTAGAAAGCCTGTTTGCAAAAATGTAAACTATAAAGATAACTTTCAGTTTATGAGAGGTGCAAGTATGTCATCTGCTACTTGAAATGGTTTAGATTTTACTGGCTTTAAGTGTATTAATTGCTCATAGTCTGGAAAAACTTCTGAAAAAAAATGATATTGATCCTCTTTCTCATTACTGTTATAAGGTCCATTCACATCAAGGATGATAACTACAGGGTGAGCCATTTATATGAATACACCTTAATAAAATGGGAATGGTTGGTGATACAACCGTCCTGTTTGTGGCACATTAGTAAATGTGAGGGGGCAAACTTTTGTAAGTTTTGTAAGAAACGAGATGTGCAGCACCTGAAACTAAGGAGACTGGAAGCCTGTCTGGCATTTCTCCTGCGATGTTGCTTTCAGTGTGTGAAGAGTGGGTGAAGAGGTTTGCATTGACAATCCAACAAAATGATCAGCACATTGACCACTTTATTTGACCACTTTATTTTATAAGTGTTCAGAAACTTATAAAAAAAACTTGTGAGAAAATAGTTACGTTAAAACCAAGCACACCATTGATTTTCCTGTGAAATTCCCAATAAGTTTGATGTGTCAAATGACCGTCTTCCCATTGAAAAAACAAAAGTTGGATCCAAGATGTCCGACTTTAAAATGGCCACCATGGTGATCACCTATCTTGAAAAGTTTGCCCCCTCACATATATTAATGTGCCACAAACAGGACGTTAATATCACAAACCATTCCCATTCTATTAAAGGGTATCCCTATAAATGGCCCACCCTGAATAATGAAATATACAGTTCTAATTTTTAATTAAAAAAAAAATGTAATTAAATTTTTCAAAAAAGTTTCTAAATGTACTTTATAAACTCTACAGATGTAAATTGTTTCCATCCGCCTGTATTGTGCTTTTTGAAGTATCTTATTAGAAAAGAGTCATGTAAGTGCCAAATTAAAAATAAAAATCTTTTAATTCACAATTTTTTTTTATTTTTTTTTTTTTCTGTTTTAGGTGGTTTTTGACTTTTCCGAATCACATAAACTCTGACGTAGTGAAAATTACAGCCACTAATCATCTTTCTCCATTATCTTGCTTTGTTTACTGTTGGTTACTAGGTTACCAATACCACAATCAACCACTCTAAAAACTGTATGGAAACATACACAATTTGGAATATTTGCTTGTTTTGCCAACTTTGAAAATATTTGCTTCATGTTAGGATGCAAACACGACCACTGACCACTAATCAGAATTCAAATGAGGGATTATTTACCATGTTTGTTGTTATAGTTATAGTCACTGGTGTTTTTATACAACTTGTACTGTGTTTTTAGAGGACTGACATGCGCAAGATGCTGCCAAAGTGCAGTAGTCAGACATGTCCATCTTACAAATGTTTAAAGGGATAGATCACTCAAAAACCTACTCATTCTTAAATGGTTCCATTTTTTATTTTATTTTAGTCTATAACACAAAAGAAGATATTTTAATAAACGTTTCATTTATTCAGGGTGGTCAGGTCTACATTTTCCTTCAGTATGCAGATTAATTTACAATTTACGCTTGTGGCTCTGCATATATTTGTCAGTTGTAAGATCATTTTGTTTATTTGTAGATTTTTCCTTCATTCATTCATACATTTTCTACTGCTTTTCCGGGGAAGGGTTGCGGAAGCAGCAGTCTTAGGAGAGACCCCCAGACTTCCTTCTCGCCAGACACTTCCTCCAGCTCCTCCGGGTGGGATTCTGAGGTGTTCCCAGGCCAGCCGAGAGACATAGTCCCTCCACCCTGTCCTGGGTCTTCCCTGAGGCATCCTCCCGGTGGGACATGCCTGGAACACCTACCTCAGCTCCTCCTTTACCACAATGGACCAGTACATCAACCTTATTACTGCTGCCAATACTGTCAATCTCATGTTCTATCCTTCCCTTACTCGTGAACAAAACCCCAAGATACTTGGAACTCTTCCCCCTCGGGTGAAGACTTTCCTTCAACCTGGAAATGACAAACCTCCTTGGAACTTGAAGGTGCTGATTCTCATATAACAGAGATGAAATCCTGTGGTCCCCGAACAGAACCCTCTCCAGCCCAAGGCTGTGCCTTAAAATTCTGTCCATAAAAATTCTGAACAGAATTGGTGACAAAGAGCAGCCCTGCTGGAGTCCAACATGCAATGAAAAACAAGTCTTACTTATTGCCAGTAATGCGAACCAGACTCCTACTCTGTTCATACAGGGACGACCCTTAACAGAGCGCCTCTGACCCCATATAATGCCACAGGGGACACAATCGAATGCCTTCTCCAAGTCCACAAATCACATGCTAGGGCATACTCCGATAAGGCTGAAAAGTGTGATCCCCCCTATAGCCCACCTTCCGGTCCCCATTCTTAAAAATGGGAACCACCAACCCAGTTGGCCGGTCCAGAGATACTGTCCCTGAACTCAATATGCAATATTGTAGAGACGTGTCAGTCAAGACAGCCCCACAACATTTAGAGACCTAAGATGCACATTGTGAATCTCATCCACCCCTGCTGCTTTGTCACTGCCGAGCTTGCAAACTACCTCAGTGAACTCAGATGGGTGATGGAGTCCACCCTTGCATCCCCAGTCTCTGCTTCCTTAACAAAATATATGTCAGTGAGGTTTAGGAGATCCTTAAAGTATTCCTTTCACCGTCCAACCACATCCCTAGTCAAGATCAACAGCTCCCCACTGTAAAACAGTGTCGATGTGGAGCTGCTTTCTTCTCCTGAGGCGCCGGACGGTTTGCCAGAGTCTCTTTGGGGCCAACCGATGGTCTTCCTCCATGGTCTGCCGAACTTTTCCCAGGCCTGAGATTTTGCTCCCGCAATCGCTCGGGCTGCAGTACCTACTGTATAAGCTGCCCTAGGAGTCCTGCAAGCAAACCAAGCCCTGTAGCTGTAGTTGTAGTGGTTGTAGATTTTTATTTATTTTTTATTAAGTAAAGCCTAAGCAGGGACGAGGGCTGCAAATTAGCTATATGCTCTATGTACGCGGCGTTAATTCTTTGTATATCAATGTCAAAGGTATTGTCCATGTTAAATAAACAAACAAACAAAAAATATTTAATATAAAAGAAACAAGTCGTGGAAGTGCTAAATTATAAACAACAAATCTTTAATTTACAAAAATTTTGTTTATTTTTTGCTTGAGATGGTTTTGGACTTTTCCCGAATAAGCTTATTTGCTGAATAAACTCTGACTCTGATTTATACTTCTACGTCGAGTGATTGCTGTGACCTGCGGCACCTGCCTTGCGCATAGTCATGTATTTACGATTCCGCATGCTGTTTGTGTTGCTCTGCAATAACACTTCCAAAACGCTAGCTAGCAGAAGGTTTTTATGTTCCTCTGTGTCAAGTTTCTTTGCAGATGTTTTGTTTTTTCTGATGCTAACTTAAATCTACAAGTAGCTAAAACTTGCTCGGTTAGAGGCAGGAACTGGTGGATGTGCAAAAGGTACACAAAACCTTCACGGGACTCACACTTGTAAACACTCGCTTCATCAGGCTCACAGCTCTCAGCACCAAGCAGACAAATCACAGAGCTTACGCTATGTGTCGTTGCGACATGTAG